CCCCGGGACTCCCCCCACGACCCCCCACCGCAGTGCTCCACCGGTGTCCCCCCAGTCCAGGGTCGCCCCCTGCCCCTCACTCCTGGTGTCCCTCGCACCAGTGTCCCCCATACCGGACATCCCGCTGTCCCTCGTTCCCGGTGTCCCTGCGGCTGGACATCCCACGCCCCGGGTCCCTCCTGCATGACAATCCCACTCCTGGTGGCACTTGTGCCGGTGTCCTTCATGCCGGATGTGACCTCTTCTCACCACCAGTCTGCATGGCCTCCAACCAGGAGACCTTCCTCTCACCACCAGTCTGCATGACTGCCAACCAGGAGACCACCTTCTTATTGATCATCTTGTTGCCTTGAACCAGGAGGCCGCTTGCTCACCACCAGTCTGCATGGCCTCCAACCAGGAGACCTTCTCATTGATCACCTGCACTGCCTCAGAGCAGAGGAGCTTCTTCCCAGGAACCGTCTCCGTGGCCTCAGAGCAGGAGACCACCTCCTCAGCACCCGGCTGCACAGAATTCTAGAATCGCAGAGTGGTTTGGGTTGGAAGGGACCTTCAAAGCTCATCTAGTCCACACCCCTGGCCACGAGCAGGGACATCTTCAACCAGATCAGTTTGCTCAGAGTCCCGTGCAACCTGACCTGGAATGTTTCCACGGACACCACCACCACTTTTCTGGACAACCTACACCAGGGTCTCACCAATATCAGCAGAAAAAATTTCATCCTTATAGCTAGTCTAGATCGGTCAAATCCATGTCTCTCCAACTGAGGACAAGGATGTCGTGTGGGACAGCGTCAAATGCTTTGCGTCACCTCCTTTGTTTCCCATGTGCCTTAGCAGAGTTGCCAGGAGGATCTGCTCCACGACCTTGCCGGGCACAGAGGTGACACTGACCGGCCTGTCGTTCCCTGGGTTTTCCTTTTTAAAAATGGGGGTTATGGTTCCCTTTTTCCAGTCGGTGGGAACTTCACCGGACTGACACCGCTCCTCAAATATGATGGATAGTGGCTTGGCAACTTCGTCTGCCAGTTCCCTCAGGACCTGCGGATGAATCTCATCAGGTCCCGTGGACTTGTGCACCTTCAGGTTCCTCAGCTGCTCTCAGACGTGGTCTTCACCTCCGGTGGGCGGTACCTCATTCTCCCAGTCCCTGCCTTTGCCTTCTGTGACTTGGGCGGTGTGGTGAGAGCCCTTGCCGGTGAGGACTGAGGCATAAAAGTCATTGAGTGCCTCAGCCTTGTCCATGTCCCGGGTGACCAGGTCTCCTCTTTCCTTCCTGAATGGGCCCACGTTTGCCCTAGTCTTCCTTTGGTCACCGACATACCTATGGAAGGCTTTCTTGTTGCCCCTCACACCCCTGGCCACATTTATCTCCACCTGGGCTTTAGCTCTCCTGACCTGACCCCTGGCTGCTAAGACAGCTTCTCTGGATTCCTCCCAGGCTGCCTGTCCTTGCTTCCACCCTCTGGAGGCTTCCTTGTTCTGTTTCAGTTTCTCCAGGACCTCCTTCTTCATCCATGCCGGACTCCTGGTGGTTTTCCCTGACTTCCTCTTTGTCAGGATGCATTGTTCCTGAGCTTGGAGGAGGTGGTCCTTGAATATCAGCCAGCTTTCTTGGGCCCCTCTTCCCTCCAGGGCTTTATCCCACAGTATTCCACCCAGCAGATGCCCGAAGAGGCCAAGGTCCGTTCTCCTGAACTCCAGGGCAGCGAGCTTACTGTGTGCCCTTCTCACCATCCTGAGGATCTCAAACTCCACCATCTCATGGTCGCTGCAGCCCAGGCTGCCCTTGACCTTCGCATTCCCCACCAGCCCCTCCTTGTCGGTGAGAAGAAGGTCCAGCATGGCACCCCTCCTCATTGGCTCCTCCATCGCTTGGAGAAGGACGTTACCATCAAAGCATTGGAGGAACCTCCTGGAATGGAGCGGGGAGGAATGGACACGAAGCTGGGAGGAGTGGCGGACACACCAGAAGGGTGGATGGGAAACGATGCAGCTGCTGCACGGTGGGCAGGGATGGATGCTCCGTGCTGACGGCTCAGCCCCACGAAGAGTTTACTTTTTCTCTCTGGTCTCCCACAATCAGACAGCAGCAAGGGACCCCGATGCCGCTTTCCCCGCCGAGCGTCCTCTCCCGGACTCCTCTCTGCCTGCAGAACTTCACGGATTCCATCGCCCTCTGCGCTTCCTTCAGGCCTGTGCTCATTCGGTTATGGTGGTGAGAGCGCAGGTGAGGAGGATTAATTACTCATAACGGCCTCCTCGGCTGTGGCATGTGCAGCGGTGCTCGGCATGGAGCAGTCGTGGGCACTTTATTACGGGGGATAATTTTCTAGCTTGCTTTTTGTGGTCCTCTTTATGGTTTTCTCAATGCAGTAGTATCAAGTGTAATACGTGCAATTAAGTATTATTAATACCGCCACCCGGTGGGGATGGCTGCAAAGTGCAGACGGCGAGAGAAGTACGAGCGGGACACAGCCGGGGAGAGAAGCGGGAAGAGGCAGGCAGCGGCAGGGGGTGAAATGTCCTCCCTCCGAGCGAGAAGCCGGGCAAGAAACTGGTGCAGAGCAGAGGAGAGAGGAGGAAGGACGAGGCTGGAGCTGTGGGAGGTGGTGGGGACGGGGGCAGGAGAGCAGGGCAGGCGGGCACTTGGCTTTCCCAATTTCTGGGGTGAAGTAAAGCACCGTTAAAACCATGATGGCAAAGCGAGGAGAAAGAGCAGACGGCAGAACCAGGAGCGTCAGTGTAAGAGCTGCCGATTCCAACTCAAGTTTGTCCCTCTGCGATGGAGAAGAGGGGGAGCTGAGGGATGGCAGACGCCGACAGACATCAAGCGCTGATGGAGATCCATCACCAACGAGTACAGCGCTGACTTCTAACCCTCCTCACGATCTGCTCCTCAGGAACCTGAAGGTCCCAATCCTTTCTCGCGCTCCCCGATACTCCTTAGTCTCCCACCTTCATCCCTGAGCTCTGCCACCGGGCTGAGCAGACCACGGACCCGTCTTCACCACCGCCGCTCGCTAGCCGTGCGCGGCTGCGGCAACGCCTGCAGAGACCTGGATGCCCGCGCGCTGCCGAGGGAACCCCCTCTGTGCTGCTACGTCTGCTCTGGCAAGTGCAGAGGACGTGGCTTTCTGCCGGGCAGAGACCGTGTCTGAGCTCCTCTCGCCAGCTGAGCCCACCTCTCGAACCGGCAGCACCTTCAGCGCCCTTCCACGCCAACCGCCCCACCACGCTCCGTTTGCCCGCTCCCGTCGCCGCCTCTGATGGGAGCGGGGCAGGCGCCGCTGATGCTGCTCTTGCCCTGCGGGTCCCTGCGCCGCCCTGGCTCTTCCCCGGCTCAAAAAAGCTCAGGAAAAGGTCGGGAAAAGCCCCTTTTCACTGGGATTGGCCGCTCTGCTGCGGACGTGTCTGCACCGGAGCTGTTAATCTGGGCCAATCGTTAATGTTACTGTAGTCATATTGCGGTAGTGAGATTACCTCAACGAGGACCACAAAAAGGAAGCTTGAAAATCATCCCCCGTAATAGTGCCCACACCTGCTCCCCGCCAAGCACCTCCCGGCTCAAGCATTTGGCTTTCCGAATTTCTGGGGTGAAGTAAAGCACCGTTAAAACCACGATGGCAAAGCGAGGAGAAAGAGCAGACGGCAGAACCAGGAGCGTCAGTGTGGGCCCTGCCGATTCCAACTCAAGTTTGTCCCTCTGCGATGGAGAAGAGGGGGAGCTGAGGGATGGCAGACGCCGACAGACATCAAGCGCTGATGGAGATCCATCACCAATGAGCAAAGTGCTGAACTTAAACCCTCCTCACGGTCTGCCCATGACTGCTCCCCGCCAAGCACCGCTGCACACGCGGAGGCCGTTACTACTAATTAATCCTCCTCGCCTGAGCTTTCGCCCCCATAACCGAACGCGCGGCAGGTCTGAAGGAAGCAGAGAGGGCGTGCAGGTCTCTGGAGTCAAAGCCCCCCGTCCCCCTCCGGACCCCCCCTGCCCCTCACCGGGGCGTCAGGGCTGCCGTCCCCAGCATCGTGCGGGCTATTGAGCTGCGGCGGTGGCAGGAAGCTCGGGCCCCGCTGCCAGTTCGCAGCTCGATGGCAGAAGCCGAGTGGTCACCGGTGCTTTGGTTTCCTGTCCCCTCCTCCGTGTCCCCAGCCCTGTGCCCTCCCGGCTCTTCCGCGGCATGGAGGACGAGGACGGCTACATGGCCTTAGACAAGCGGGGTGCTGCGGGGAGCCCGCGTCCCCTCCAGGGGGCAGGTATTGGGGGTCGTGTCTGCTGGTCCCCCCCAAAATTGGTGGGGGAGAGAGGAAATACGGGGTGGTGATGACCGGTGCGACTTGAGAAGGGGGAGAAGCGGGGTGATGCCGCCCGTCGGGTCCCCGAGAGATGCTCGGGGTGGGGAAACTGAGGCACGGAGTGAGGGAGGAGGGTCTGGGGGGGCTTCTCTCGCGGCTGTAGATCATCACACCCCCCCAGGCTGGCTGCTGTCCTGTCTGCACTGAGCTACCCAGGGGGGGGGGTTTGCCCCACGGCAGGCGCGTGTCCTCGCAGGAGCCCCCCGCCATCCCCGCTGCCTCCTCGGGGCCCTGACAGCCGCCCTGGCGCTGTCCCTCGTGGTGTGCGGTGAGTCGGCCCCCACGGGCTCTTTTTTGGGGGGGGCCCAGGCACCCCCTCCATCCCCGAGGGAATCATTTTCCTCGCAGCTGGGACGGGGCTGTGTTTAGTCTTAGAGTGCGGGAAAGGTGTTGATGTCACAATGATATTTTGGTAGTGTTTTTCCTCAGTCTGGGACTCTTCAGTTCTCTGCATTCTGGGATAATTGTGAAGAAAGATAACTCTTATTTAACTCCAAAGGGTTAATAACTTGAAAGGCTTCTGCAAATCCAGCTACTCCTGCTCAGTAAAGCTCGGCAAACAGCACAAACCACACCATATTATAACCCTAAATCACATATTCTAGTTCAAACTTGAGGAATATTTCACCTCGAAAAAGGCCAAAATTGGGATAATCTCCCCTGCTGGGGTACTCGGCTGCGGGGCTTAGGCCTCAGGCTCAGCCCTAGGCCCAACATGGCTGGCGCGGGGGCTTTGGGGACCCGG